TGTATATCCAATCTTTCTGTCTGGGGGCTTGTACAGGGAGTAGAGACCAGCCTCTGTGCTTTGGGACACTCTCCCTTCCCCATACCCCATTCATGGCAATTCCTCCTGGCTCTCAGAGTCATGGCACTGGTGCTTATTGAGAGGAATTGGCCATGTTGACAGTAAAAGAATAAGATAGAACTATGAGATCCAATTTACTAGGCAAACAAGCACTATCAAAGGTGGACTGTGGCTGCAGAAATGAGAACACTATTTTAAAGTGCAATGCCCAGTTTTGCGATGCTTTTTAAACCATGCCTAGAGTGGTATGTTCAGTTCTGGGCCTTACATTTATAACCACTTATAATGGCAAGGTGGCCAGGGAGTGGAAGTAACACTTTATGACTGATGGTTAAAGGAACTGTGAATGTGGTAGAGGTGAACAGCTCATCTCTAAAGAGATTCCTAAATGATGTGGATTTGGCTCAGTGGTTCTGTCGCCTGCCTCATAAGCTCAAGGTCCCAAGTTCAATCCCTAGTACCAAAAAAAAAAAAAAAAAAAAAAAAAAAAAGCAAATAAAGAGATTCCAGGAGGTAGAGGGAGAGATGGTCCCCATGGGCCTGGGCTGGGGAGGCAGAACAGGTGGAAGAAAGCTTTAGCAAAGCAGCCTTCGCTTAGGATCCCTGAGACCTAGAACGTCCCACAGATGGTGTGAATGGTGGTTATCTCCCCATCCCTGGGTGTATCCAAGCAGAGGTAGAGCCTCTTTCCTACTCTCTGCTGCATTCGCCAACTCCTGCCTCATATCTGCATCCTCAATCCTCTTTGAACACACAGTCAGGTCTTAATACGAACTGCACCATGTGGAGTTTTCATTGCAAAGATATGTTTATTTCACTTCATCAGACCATACTTGGGGAGTCAGGATAACCCGGAGCTTTGTGGAGCATACCAGAGTTTGAGGTAGCCAGTTGTAAATGACCCAGAATCCAAAGGAGCCCCTGCCTAGGAAATCTGCCTGCTGTACACATCGGTTCTATTTTGAGTATTCTTACATCCTTAAACAGAGACTGTCATTTCTGGCTCAAACTTCAGAAACAATCACATACCCTCTGGGCTTATAACACACTGGAGAAATCATTAGCTCAGACAATGAGTGCCATCTAAAAGAGTTGATACATCTCACTTGAATCAAAGAAAACCAGCAAATATTAACCAAGAGCCTTGCCTGTGTTAAGCAAATCAAGATGGGTAAGATCTGGTCCTTGTCACCTAGGTACCAACAAGAGAGCCAAGGGAAAAGGACAGGTGTGTGAACAGCTTAATTACTATGTCACCTCTTCTAGCACTTTCCCAAATTATTGCAGTTATTTCTTTAAAACTGCCAGCAGCCCCACTAAACTGTGCATTCCTCAAGGACAGAATAGCTTATTGGTTAAGGCAGCATTTATACTTCTGCAACTTGAGTTCACCTCCCACTTGGCCATGTGACAGCTATAATTTTAGACAGGTTGTTTTGCTGTCCTGTACTGCTCTGTTACTTCTCTGTAAGTTTCCTTATCTGAAAATGAGATTAATATTAGTACTAATTGTTACAAAATTAAACTCTTTAATATATGTAAAGCACTTAGTAGTGTGGCCTAAATAGTACATGTGTAATTAACATTTGTTGCTGTTAATACTACTGTTACCAATAATAATACAGTGGGGTTACTCTTATGTAGCAGCTCACTTCTGAAAGTAAGTTTACAAGGCAGAAACCATACATAATCAATATGTTACTTCAAATTCCCATCTTTCTTGCTCCTGGGAGCATATGGCTGCTACCTCCCACACGGGATTGGCCAACTTTAGTTAATAACAACTGACACTTAATGAGTGCTTATTACATAGCATGTGCTGGTTGAAATTTTTACACACATTAACCTATTTCATCTAATTTCATATCAACTCCATAAAGTAAGTACTAGGGCTTCCTCCATTTTAAAATCTAGGAATCAGAGGCACAGAAAGGTTAAATATTTGTCTAAATACTACAGGGACTTGAATTTAGGTAGTCAGCTGGCCAGGCTCCAGATTACATACTGTAAACCACCAGGTCCAATTGTCTCTCCTAAGAGAAATAGGATGTGACTATCCTAATTCAGTATACCCTACCATGTGTACAGATCTGGCAGTGCAGTGAGCATTTGGTAACAGTTTGTGAAATAAGTGGGCTCCTCAGGTTGCTAGTTGAGGAGCCTCTTTCCTGCTCTCTGCTGCGTTTGTCAACTCCCCGCCCATGTCTCCATCCTCAGTCCTCCATGAACCAGCTCATTCCCAGCTCACACAATCCCCAACGAGTCTTCAACCAACCGATGCAGCTGTTATCGAGTGTCCTTTGGGAACCCCAGGTTGCTATCTTCTAGGTGTTGAGACACCGAAGTAAAAGAGACTTACAACTTCCAGCACACTTTGGAGGGACTCCAGTAAAGCAATGCTTCTCTAATGGGGGTGCAGTGCAGAGCCATAGTCCCAGCGGTCCCTGAGTTCTCTCCAGGAACTTTTAAGTGACATGTTTTTGTTTCAGTGATGGTGTGATTAGGTATAGTATTTGTAGATTCTAGGGGTTAAGGCTGTTCACTGTGGCATGAGAGATCCTGGATGCAAATCCTGACATTGTCAAGTGTATTCTTGCAACCTGAGTGAGGTAAGAAGTTGAATGAGGCAAGGAATTTCTGTTCTTCACCTTCCTCCCCATCCAAGCAACTCAGGAGCTGGTTCTACTTTTTTGTGTTTGTTTGTTTGTTTTGGTTTGGTTTTTTGAGACAGGGTCTCACTATGTAGTTGAGACTGACCTGGAATTCACTATGTAGCCCAGGCTGGTCTCGAACTCACAGCGATCCTCCTGCCTCAGCCTCCTGAGTGCTGGGATTACAGGCATGCGCCACCACGCCCGACTGGAGCTGGTTCTACTTTAACATTGGTGTACAACTTCTGGAGGGAAGTGACCACCTCAGCTGAGCAGAAACCACTAGGCTGATGCCTATGTAACCATTACAAGAATCCATATGGTGCCTTCTGGTTGACCATCTATTCTCCTGTAAATTTGGTCCTAGCAAAAACCATGTGAGGTAAGTAGTAATATATATCTGTTTGCACATAGTTAACTCTTATTATTTACAGATTCCATATTTACAGATTTGCCTAGTTGTTAAGATTTATTTGTAAACCCTAAAATCAATATTCATTTTATAGTCATTTGCAGGCAGGGACAGAATAATGAAAAATTTCAGTTACCCAATGCACACATTCCCTGCAGAGGTCAAACAAGGCAACACTGCCTTCCTGTTTCAGCATTCATAACATAAACAAGTACTCTTTTGTGGTCTATTTAGTACCACGCTTTGCACATTTTTGTACTTTTTTCTTGGTGATTTCATTGCTTCCAATGGTCCCCAAGAATTATGCTAAAGCTAAAGGAGGCTGTGATGTGCCTTACAGAGAAAATGTAAGTGCCAGATAAGCTTCGTTCAGATGTGAGTTATTGTGCTGTTGGCCTGAGCTCAGAATTAATGAATCAGCAGTAATATTAAACAAGGTGTCTTTAAATAGAAGCACATATAAAAGGTTATGTTTTACGGTGAGAAAAATGTCACCAATGTCTGGAACCTAACCCTGTATTTCCCCTAGGAAAAGTGGCTCAATATTTGCCAATGCAGCATTCCCAGAAACTTCATAGAACACAATTACTGAAACAATGAGAACACAGTACAGGCTGCACATGCATAGCATGTATGATCCAAAGGAAACCAAGGTTCAGACAGGTACGAGAATTTGCCCATACGGCAGGAAGTGCACATCGCAGTGCCAGAGTGGCTCTTCAGCTGAGGTCGGTCAGAGTCCCTGCTCCACCGACTACCACCCCCATCACACTGGATTCATGGTCAAATGCACTGTATAAACAGTTGCCATATGTGGGGCTTAGGTAAATAGAATCTGCTGTGGATGCTTTTAACCTTTCTTTTGCTGATGCTGTTCTTTATCTACTCTCCCTCGCTTCCTTCCCACTCATTTGTGTTCTTTGCTTTGAGGTTTTATTGCTGTTTCTTTGTTTTTGCCAAGCTGGGGATCAAACCCGGCCTCTGCATGCTAGGAAAGTGTTCTACCACTGAGCTACACCCTTGGCTCTGCTTTTGGATTGTCTGCAGTCACATGGCCATTGCATTGAAGGTCCTTTGCAGCAAGAGACCCTTCCTGCCAGGTGCAGTGCTTCCTAAGGAACTAGAGAAGAACAGGGCAGTCAGCCTGGGAGTCAAACCAGTAGCATTCTGAAGTTCACCCATGAGCCAGTGAAAATTCTGTTACGTTATTCTTACTGATGGTTCAAACTCCAGAACAGGGCAGATGGGCTGGAGGAACATCTGCACCATCACTGGCCACACCTCTGGTAGCCTTCACAAATCCAAGATTCTTATCCCTCCCCACTGAAAAATAGTGGCCCTTTTCTAAGGATTTCCAAACAATCAGGGCCACTTTGTGGAAATTTAGAGCCAACATATCCGTGCTCAGAGCCCGCCCCACCCCATGCTCAGAGTGATGTGTTGCCTTGATGAGTTTGACAGGCCTGGCAGAGGAGAGGCAGGAGGGAGAAGGTGGAGAGGGGGTTTCAAGTGTCTCGGAAGTGGCATTTATATTTAGTATTTCCTTTCTGCTCAAGGGTTGGTGTGCTAGTCAGGATTCTTGATATAAACAATAGACTCGCTTTAGCTCATTTTAGCAGAAAGCAAATTTGTGAACGAGTATTATGTGATTCAGAGGAATCCTCAAAGCAGCCTGAGAGTCCTACTTAATGGCAACCAACTAGGAAAAATTTTCAAACCATACAATCAGATTTCACCTTTGAAGACCTCAGAGCCTGCACACCTGGGCATAGGCCAGTGACACTGAGAATGGAGCAGTAGGTCCTCGGACTCTGATGCCCCAAAGCTGCATACTTCCACTGTGTGAAGAGCCACTGGGCAATTCTGAGAGCCCCCTTCCTGTTCTACTTCTTGGCAAACCTTGGCTTAAGATCATCAGATTGGTGGAGCTACAGTCACATGATGGGGCAACTGAACTATATCTGTTCACGTTTCTGGAGGCCAGCAGTCCAAAACCAAGACATCAGCAGTGCCACCCTCCCTCTGGAGGCTGCAGTGGAGAATCAATGCTCGGCCCCTTCTAGGCTGTAGGTATTCACTGACTTGTGGACACATCACTCCAATCTCTGCTTCTGTGGTCACATTTCCTCCATCTCCTCTCTGTTAAATCTGCCTCCACTTCACTCCTAGAAGGACACTGTCACTGGATTTAGGGCTCAACAAAGAATGCAGGATGATCTCATTGTTTCACGATCCTAAACAACTGCAAAGGCTCTTTTCCAAATAAGGCAACATTCACAGGACCTGGGGAGTAGAACATAGGACAGGAGTAAGCCCCCATTCAGTCCATTCAACCAGCCTACAAATTCAAATCACCTGTGAACCTTCTTATTCAAACATAGATGCTGACCCCCACACAGAGCAATGGGATTGGAATCAGGCTGCGGCATCCAGGCTGTGTCAGTATTGCTAGCTTTCCAAGTATTCTGCTTGTTAGTTAAACTTGAGGACCAATGATTACCCAATTATTTCTTTTTAAAAGTGAGAATGAAGGCACAGAGAAGGCCCAAGATCCCTCTGAAGTCACATAGCACAAACTGACTCTACCTTTGACCTCCAGGAGATATTCTTGACCCCCTGGGGTACCCCTTGTGTCCCTCCAGGCTTCAGGAGAGCCCAGGTGGTCAGTATCTGCTCTGGAATACCTTAGCTAGGAGCCTTAAGGCCTTTCCCAAGCTCAGGACAATACCCGAGCTCAGACCTGAGGGAATCTCCCAAACAGGGGCCAGATCTAGTTTGTTTGTGACCTCAAAGGAGTCACTGAACCTCTTTTGTTCTAGTCTTCTCTGATCTTTAATGTAGAAGATTGAGCTCAGTATGCTCTGAGGTGACTTTCAGCACAAAAACGATATGATTTGGTAATTCCAACCATCTGAGAATGTTTAATTTGGCCCTCAGCCATCCCAGGATATTTGATAGAATCTGATCATTTGGACCAGCCCCAGGAAAGGAACAGATCAGAGCCCGTGCTGGGTGTTGGGAGCCCACCTGATGGGAGAGTATGTTCATATGTGGTGGGGGGTGGAGGGATGGGTACTGGCGGGTAAGACTGTGGAGACTTAGAACTAGAAGGAATTAATTTGGCTCATGTCAAATATGGAAACTGAACCTCAGAGAGGGAAATTATTAGTTCCAGTTCACACAATTAGTTAAAAGCAGAATTGGCATTAGAGTTAGCTTTTCTGAATTCTGTCCCAGATTCTTTCTTCTACACCAAAAATGACAAATACATTTCCTCTCCTGTGCTCTGATCAATTAGCAGTGGCTACCTTGAATGCTGTCTTCTGGAAGGTTCCCAGGCCCATCCAGGCTCAGTAAGAAGAGTGCTGTACTTGATTAGCAATGTCTGTCATGACCACAGGAGGGGAGAGCAGCAGCCTGTGTTTTTCCAGCCCTGAGTTGCCAGGCTCATTAGAGGACAAAATTGTCAATGAGGAAATTTGAGGCTCTTTCTCCATAGAGAACTAATCATGAAAGAAAAGTGAAAAACTACATAAACAGCTCTGCAGAAGACTCTTGAAAGTACTTACCTCAAAATTCAGAGATGGTAACCAGTGCTCACACCTATAGACATGGTTTGCTAAGCAAGGCTGGGAACAAATAGTATTGCAAACTGTGAAAAGGGTATGTGAAAGCCATGATGTGAGAGGTGAGGAAATAAGTTCCTAGGAAAGCAGAACGAGTTAACAGTTAATATACAGACACATTGTACAATGTGCAGCCAGGAGTTTTTGTTGTACTTTTAAATTTTTGCTCCAATTTTAATAGCAGTCCTTAGATTAAGGCAGTGAAAATAGTTTATTTACTTTCATGAGCACAGTTGCAAAGTTATATGTAAAAACTATATGACACATGAATTGGCCAGTCCCTCCATGTCTAAATTTACTCTAGTTAAAATTAACGACAATAATAATATTATTATATTTAATCCTCATTACAATCTTGTAAGATAATTATTATCCTCACTGTTTTACAGATGAGGAAACAGGTTTAGAGGGGCTAGGGAACTTGTCCAAAATTACACAATTAATAGGTGGCAGAACTAAAATTTGAATCAAACTGGGATTTTGACACGCTGTCTAATTAAGAGCTGGACCCAACATGAGGCATGTTTGAGTACTCACAGAAGCTACTAACTGCTAGAAGTGATGGATAGGCCTTTCTACAACTGACCCTGAAATACCAATCCCTCTCAATGTGAAAGGAAAATATACTATTCTTCTGATTTTCATTTACTAGAATCCAAATCACCAATTTTTTTCCCCCTCTGGAAAAACGAAAGGGTCCATCCCTTCAGAGAAGCCTTGTGGGGTCTATGCCCAGCTGTTACACACCTTCCGCAAAACACCAACATGAGCACTCCAGGTTAAAGGATATCAGCATGGCCACACACTCCTCATTTTCCCAAATTAATCAAGAAGTAGGAATTTCTGACAAATGCCATCTGCTGATTTTTCAGAGAGACAAGTTTTGGTGGTGTGACCAGCAGGTGCCTCAGCTTTTTCTAGCATGCAGTACCAAAATAGTCACCATGGCAACCCTCAGAGGGCAGCCTTCCAAAGAGATGCATTGTGAGCACAGAAACTCTAGAGCACTTCCAAGCAAGAAGGAAGGAGGCTAGTGTTGGGTTTCCAATGGGGGCAAGCAGGAGCTTCTTTCAACACTCCCAGGCTTGTGTGCTGGGCACAGCCAAGATCTCCCCTGCTCCCAGGAAAAGAGTATAAATAAGAATTTGTAACCACACCAGGCAAAGAAGGCAATGCCTACATTTCTTGCAGGGCCTCAAGTAGCACGGAGAAAAGATAAAAAGTGGGGTGTGGCTCTGAGTTGGGTCCTGTCCTGTTCAAAGCTAATGCACTGACCTTGGGCAATTGACCCTAGCTCAAATTTTCTGAGTTTCAGTTTTCTGTGAAATTGGTATGATGAATTCATACCATCTTTTCACGCAATTGTGCTGCAGATATGATTCGATGCTGTGAAAGTGTTGTGAGAAGGTACTCAGCGGGTAGCGCTGAGTAAAAAGAACAGTCTTGGGTATCAACCATCCCAGGCTCCTCACCAGGTTCTGCTGCTTTCCAATCTGATGAACTCAGATGAGTCAGAGAACCTGTCAGGCCCACGTCTCTCACCTTGCAGGGAAGCTTTGGGCCCTGCTTCATGGTATGGGTAAGCAGGTTAATGGGGTGCAATATGCATAAGCATAGGTGTTATCTCTATGCTCCCTTACCTCTTCACTCTCTCCTTTGGGCTCCTAAGACTTCTTAACCTTGGGTTCCTTCTGAAACCTGGGATTCCACACTGCCTATGGGGTTAAAAGCAGACACCAACCCAGGATTAAACATTCAAGAATTTTATGGGTTTGGGGGAGGGGGGATTGTAACCAAAAGAGGAGGGGCCTAGGAGGAGCCAGGAGAGGAGAGGGCCATTGCCACATGGTTCAAGTCTGATCCGGGGGCAGGAGGGAGGGAAAGAAGTGAGATGGAAGTGCTGGGTGGCTTGCTGTCTAGAAAAGATCAGCAAAACCATCAAGATGACCTTGAGCCAAAGTCACCTGTCAGGGAGTTTCACTGTTGCAAAAGGAATTGGCAAGTGACACACACATAGAAACAAGCTGAATGGAAGTAAAATAATAAAAAGTTTATTTTGCCAGCAAAGGTCGATAACACTCAAAAAGTCAGTGCCAGTGATCAACCACCTACTGGGTGGCAGCTTCATCTTTTATAGGTTTTACAGCTATGATCTCATTCAGGTGGTTACATTTCATTTCCTCAGTTCACATTACCCATGTACAAATTACAGTAACAAGACAGTTAACCTTAACCCAGAAGTAACAATTCCTTGTAGTTAGGGAGTTTACCTTAAGATTCATCTAGCTACCTATTCTAGTGCACAAGAAGGGGGTGTTCAAGGTTAGGGATGAGGCCAGATGTCCCATTTCATGGTCAATGCCTCCAGTGTCTGTTAATTTTGAACTAAACAAAGCAGATTGCTGTAGAGACAGCAGAAGTCATTTTACATTTTGTAACACTTTGTAGGTTTTTAGATTATTTACAAAAGTTCTCTGTACCACCATCTCCTGGAGATAGGTCTTCTCTAGGATCCCTGCCACACTGAATTTCTGATGCGCTAGGAGCAACCAATCATGTGTGGCCTCGACACAAACATGCTAGCAAGCAACCGGGGCCCTGAGTCAGCTGGGCCCCTGCCTACAAAGCTTTTTTTTTTTTTTTTTTTTTTTCTGAAACAGGGTCTCATTCTGTAGTTCAAGGCCAGCTTCAACTAACCCACAGCAATCCTCCTACTTCAGTTACTCAAGTGCTAGGATTACAGACGTACGTGTCCCAGCATGCCCAGCCACAAGGCATCTTCTCAAGGTCACCTCACATACCCAATCCTGACATCTTTCCTGTGGACATTCATCTCAGGCACTTGGTCTTATAGCCCACTTCTCTACTCAGAAGCTCACACCCCACAGTGATGGTCCCCTTACCCAGAACACCATAAGAACACAGGCTCAGTGATATCTCAGGACTCCAGTTCTGGGAAGAACAAGATTTCCCACATCTCATGTAGTTTACATAGCAAAGGCACATGCCAGGTGTCCACTTCCATGTGGCTGCTCGCATGTGCAGATATGTGTACTTATCAGCCCCTGACATGAATGGACATATTTGCATATGTGGGTGAGCATTTATATTGATAGGTATATATATGTGTTGTGAATTTATATAATACTATTAGTACTATACACTGAACCTCTGATGTTTATAACTATCTTTGAGATAAATAACTAAAGACTTGTGTGGGTATGATCTTCTCTTTAGCTCAGTTGTTTTCTCCAGCAGGTCACTCAGATAATACAAGGCAGAGTCACGGTTTGGATCAGAAATGTTTTTCTTTCAAATCTGAGCTCTGGTTCTACTCGCCGTATCTCTCCCATTACCCACTCATATGACCATTTTTTGCATGAAATCACATGTGTGCATGCACATAAAAGATTAAGATAAAAGAGGGAACTATACATGGAAAAGTATAGATTGATTATAGATGAATGGAGGGAATTGCTTACAGAAGCCTGCATCTTCTCATGTGTAATTCTCTTGGTGTGTGTCATCTAGAAAAGAATATTGTATCCTGGCTGTAAAGTTTCTATATAATGAATTATAGCACAAATTTTAGACATTGTAAGCAATTTGAGACTCTGATTCTTCTAGTATAATCCTAGATGAAATCCCTTTTCTTGTTCCTTTCCAAAATCCTTGATCACATGACAAAATTTTCAGCTGCCTGGTGGAGGTTGTTTTGTCTTTATTGGGAAGTGTTTAAAAGAAATCTACTCCAAGTTTTGTTTGTTTGTTTGTTTTGTGCGGGAGGGTTGTACCAGGGATCAAACTCAGGACCCTGTGCTTGCCAGGCAGACACAATACCACTGAGCTACATTCCTGGCCCAAGATTTTCACTTCCTAAATTATTTGTCTTTGCTTGTTCTGTGGTTGCATGAAATTCGAGCTTGTAGCATTAGAGTCAGAATCAATCCAATTACCATTTATCAAGCACAGGTACTATGCTTAAAATTCTCATAAGTGATAGCATTTTATTTGAGTTCCTATCGAAATGATCCCTATTTTATCAATGAAGAAATGAGGCTCTGCAGTTAGATTTGTCCAAGTTTATGCAAGGGGACAGAGCGGAGGCTGGAGTTGGGCTCTGAGGAACTTAAGCCTGTCTGTGCCCACTGCATTCACATTCTCTCAGGCAGAGGATAGGAACTACCCAAGTACTTGTTTTCCAGGCCACCCACTAGTTCTGTTGTATCCTGGGAACCTGCAGGACCAGCCAAGCCCAGGACAGGGCCACGTGGGGCCAGGCCAGGTTGACTTACCTGGAAGAACACCAGCCTGGCTATCGGTGTATCTGCTTTCTTCCCATTTCCTTTCATGGCCTCCTTCCTCAGTTGACAATGAGAGTCCAACTTCTGCCAGTCCTGACTGCCTTTCAAGCCTTTTTTTCTTTTTAAGAATTTTGAGGAAGAAAACCATCGTGTGCTCAAAGGGGACCTGGTAATCAGAAGTGTCTGGAGATTTCAAGCTGTTAACATAGAGAGGTGGCAAAAGTACTTTCCAGGACATCCTCAGGGACCCAACTGGCAAGAGGAGTCCTCAGACCTGGAGTCAGAACAGGTGTACAGAGCTCAGCAGTAGGAGAGTGGGTAAGGGCTGCACAGAAGGCTCTGATACCTGAAGAGCACTGTGCAGTTTGTCACATGCTTTCAGCCCCTCTTTCTCACTCATTTCCTCACTTTGAGCCCTTTCACAGCAGAGGAAACTGTTCAGAGAGGTAAAGTGACTGGCCTGGGGGCACACAGTTGGGAAGAGGCAGAGCTGAGTCTCTCACTCAGTTCTTCTGACTCCATGCCAGAACCACTAAGGTGCTAAGGCTGCCACCACTTAGAAACACCCACCCTGTATCTGGGTAGTCCTCAGGCCTGCACCAGGGCCAATGACGGGGTCAGTAAAAAAGAGCAGAGGAGCCTGAACACAGATAGGAAGATGTACGAAAGGGAATCAAGTTGCTGCTATAACAAATACCGTAGGCTGAGTAGTTTAAGAATAGAAATTTATTTCTCACAGATCTGGAAGTTCGAAAGTCCTAGATCTTGGTGCCAGCTTGGTCAGGTTATGGTGAGGGCCCTCTTCATGGTTTGATGTCTTTTTGCTGTGTCCTCACATGATGGAGAAAGAGGAAGGAAGTGAGCTCTCTCTCTCTCTTGTTTTCTTTGAAGGCCACTAGTACAGTCATGAGGGCTGTCTAATCAACTTCCCCATAGCCCACCTTCAAAAAAAATCGCATCAGGGGTTAGGGTTTCAGCACATGAATTGTGAAAGAACACCTTCTACCACAGTAGTAGGAGAGCCCTGGAAAGTCATTGCACTTAGAAAAACAGGCCAGGCATGGGGCTAGGCACTGGAAATATGGGCTACATGAGCCATCCACACTCTGCCCTAAGACCGTCAGAGCCCCCTGGAGGAGACTGAAGGCAGGTCAGAAACCCCAACACAGTGTAGCAGATAGGCATTCGAGCAGAGGGACCTATGGGCACTTGGAAGCATTCAAAAGTTACTCGAGATTTGGAGGAAGAGTGATAATAGAGGTGGTCGTTCTGAGAGAGATCCAGGCAGCCTTCCCAGAAAAGGAGGGAAGCCTTTTGGAGCTGGGGTTTTGAAGGGTCAGATTTTGATGTGCAGACTGGAGGAGAAGCGTGGAGCATGGTCCCTGAAGAGTCAAGGATGGAGAACCTGCGGGAGCAGGGCCATCCTGTCCAGTTCCTATGGGTGGGCTGCATGGCATAGGTGAGCAGGAGATGCAGCTGAAAATGCAGGCAGAGGTCAAGCTAAGCCCTTGACAGGCATGAAGGTTGCCCTATAGGCAAAGGGGAGCTGTTA